AAAAATAAACATCCTAACAGCATTGAAGATGAAAATGGAACCGAAGTGGCTAAAGTAGCTGTTACAGTTGATGGCACATGGCAGAAAAGGGGCCATTCCTCAAAGATTGGTGTGGTGTTTGTCATTTCAGTGGCAACTGGAGAAATTCTGGATTATGAGGTCAAATCTCTTGTTTGCTATGAGTGTCGAGCTCGTGAGCATATGGACAGAGATTCTGAGGAATACAAAGCTTGGAAAGCCAGCCATACAAATTGCCACATTAACCATTCTACCAGCTCTGAGGACATGGAGGCTTCTGCAGCAGTAGAAATGTTTGGCAGAAGTGTAGAGAAGTTGCATCTCAAGTATACAACTTTTGTCGGAGATGGTGACAGTAGTTCTTTTTGGTCGAGTGCGAGAAGCCATGACTGCAAAATTTGGAGACAAATATCCTGTAGTCAAAGAGGAGTGTGGGGCCATGTGCAGAAGAGAATGGGTACAGCTCTCCGAAAGTTTAAAAAAAAATGAAGGGAAGAAAGCTGGCAGATGGAAAAGGTGTCGCTGGAAAGGGAAGGCTCACTGACAAAGTTATCAACCGCATTCAAAACTATTATGGTAATGCTATAAGAGAGAATTGTGGCAACCTTCAAGGGATGAAAGAAAGCATTAAAGCAATTCAGTGTCATATGATAGTGGATGAGGACATGTCACTCAAAAAGCAGCACAGACACTGTCCAAAGGATAAAGACACATGGTGTAAGTTCTGGGCTGACATGCATAATAAGACAAACACCTACGACAACAGCAAGCGTCTTCCTGCAGTTTTCATGAAAGAGCTGGACCCAATTTTTAAAAGATTGTCAGATAATGCTCTTTTATCAAGATGTCTTCAAGGTTTCACTCAAAACCAGAATGAAAGTGTCAATTCTCAATTGTGGTCCAGATGTTCCAAAACTACCTTTGTTGGAGTTCGTAAAGTTCAAATTGCTGTTTGTGAAACTGTGGCTGTGTTTAACACTGGGGCAGCCAGCAAAGCAGTCATTATGGATCTCAGTGGGGTTAATCCTGGTCAAAGTATGTTGAAGGCCCTGAGAGATCAAGACAAAAGAAGGATCGTAACTGCTGGACGAAAAGTTTCTGTGAAGTACAGAACACAAAGGAAGATTTTATGGGCAAAGCGAAAGTCAAAAGGGGAAGTGTCATACTCTTCAGGGGCTTTTGGTCTTGATTCAAAGCCTGAGATATCAGTTAAACAAGGAATCAAGAATATTAAGTCCAAGAAACACATTCAGGAGTTACCATCCACTAGTAGAGAGCAAACTGTGGAGATAAAATATGTGGAACCCATTTTTGAAGTTGTGGTCACTCCAAAAGAGTAGGGTTCATGAAGAGGACTGAACTTTTCCACATTTAACCATCTAATCTAGCTGGAGAAAGGCCTTCAAATTAATATTTACTTCCTAGTGCAACACAATTTCAAGAAAATAACTTTCTTGACAGAATGGGGGGATGTTATGGTGAATTTTACTCACAGCACATGTCTTGGACTTTAGAAGCAGTTTTCTTAAAGTTATATGTTTAAGAATTGTCTATCTTGTGGCAGTCATATTTTTGCCAGTTTTCAATGGATTTGCATGATTTTTTCACAGGTTGTGTAGTTTTGGCTGTACTGTGCAATGAGTGAACTAGTTTTAGTCTTTTGTGAAGTTTTATTTTGTTGCTATGGAAACGTGCTTCTTTATGTCAGAGCGACATTGATTTGACGATACTAAAAAACTGTTTCACTCATTGCACAATTTGTAACAGTGTTAATGTCTCTAGAAAGTTTCATTGCTTTATGGTATATGTTTGCTGAGATAACTTTGCCATAATCTCAGAAGTTGACTTAAGTTTTCTGGAGTTACCATGGCAACCAATGGGCGTGGTCTCACACTTACCATGTCAATCTTTCAAACTTACTTAAGTCTATATTCTGTTCAAATTTCATGGAGTTTGGTCAAATCCTAGGGAAACAGGCCACTTTTTCATTTAGTTACAAAATAAGGGTTAACTACCACCTTAAGTCATTTTCGTGTATAGTTTCCTTTTAGTTTCTTTACTTATCTTACAATTATATTATATTATATTAGTTTCTATTTTTATATTGCATTATACTAGTTTTTATATTGTAATTATTTCTGAGTGAGGGCCACAAGTTTATTAGCTATGCTATTATGTGTTACCCTCGTAAAATAAAGTCTTTATTATTATCGTAAAAAAAAGCCCAGTGAGGCAGTTATTGAGATCAGCTCGAAATCAACAAGTGTGCTACACTCACGGCTAACTTGCTAAAACTGTCCATTGCTTTGACAGGATCAGCTAGCGTGCCATTTAAGACAAAAAAAACACTTGAATATTTTCACTATAAACTCAATCAGAGGGCATGTAAAGCCACTTTTTTTATCGAGCTAGTGTGCTCAAAACTACAAATTTGACAAAGAAAGAGACATTTGAAATTCATGATCACTTCTATCAACAATGTCACAGTTTCAGCTGTGTCTCAGATAATGCAAGGGACACAGACATTTAACCTCTGATCTTCATTACAAGTTTAGCTGTTACAGACATTTTAAAAAGCAAAGAATAACATGCAAGTTTTCCAACGCTCTTGTTGTCTCTTGTTTTGTGGTCTGGTTACTTCCTAATTTTTATTCAGCATGCAACTGGGACAGTTTTTACTTGTTGGCACTCTAGCGCTAGGTATTAATAGTTAAAGAAAGTAAAGAAAGACAGGACACCATGGTGACATGTATCCTGGAACAAAAATTATGTTCCAGGCTGGAATATACTGTCATAAATCATAATGGAAACCTAGGAGAGGTTTTGGCTTTCCTTTTTCGTCAAATGAAGCAATAAACTTTGGAATGGAAGCGATTCATCGACTCACTCACTCAGCCAAGAATGACACATGTTTATGCGTTTGTACTAGCGAAAGGTCCATGCCGTTAATATTGCTTCTTCTTCTTGGAGGGGATATTGAACTTAATCCAGGCAACAAACATCCTTGTAGCATTTGTTCCAAGCCTGCACAGCCACACCAAGCAACAAATCAATCCAATGTATGTGACTGGTGGTTCCATGCTAGGTGTTGCAAGTTACCATCTATTTACATCAACATTCTATCTCACCCATTTTGTAAATGGTTGTGTCCAATATGTGGTAGATCGAACTCAAAGCCATACTCTTCAGATTCTGTGGTTTTACCAAGTTCTTTAAATTATTTTGAGCCTTTATTTAATTCTGGAATATTACCATCAAACTCAAATAAACCTGAACCTTCCAAGCAAAACAACAATAGAAAATTATAAGACATGCCAAAGAACAATAGAAGGAAACTAACATGCATGACAATGAACTGTTGAAGCGCTAAAAACAAAATAGCAGATATCGCTGCTGTAATAGATCAACTGAATCCTGGTTAAACTCGAACAGCAAAAGTAATGAAATATTCCCAAATGGCTACAAAATCTTAAGAAAAGACCGTCCTGACGACTGCCACGGCGGAGGTGCTTTCTAGGCAGTGAATAACCAAATTATAATAACACATCGTTTGGACCTGGACACCGACTGCAAAATTACTTGAACCCAATGTCAGCTAGCAGACAAGAAAAAAAATCACTGCCATTTGGATCATATTATGGACCAAATTCTTCCAATGTTATAAGCCTCCATGAGCTACATGCATCACTGTTAAAGCTATCGAAAGTGGAACCGTACCCAGTAGATGGAAATCGGCAAGATTTCAGTATCCAAAATGTATGTGGTGTCTTTAAAAAAGGGGAAAAGTCTGATCCTTCCAACTACAGACCTATATCTCTAACCTGCATAGCATCAAAAATTCTTGAACACATTGTACATAGCCATGTGATGAAACATTTTGAACATTATAACGTGCTAACAGACTGTCAGCATGGCTTCAGATCAAAAAGATCCACAGAACTTCAATACTCACTATTCATGGTATTTCCAGTTCCTTACAACAAAACAAATCTATTCATGCTGCTGTGTTAGACTTTTCCAAAGCCTTTGATAAAGTCCCTCATTAACACTTACAAATGAAACTGGAGCATTACAGTATCCATGGAAACCTTTTGTCTTAGATGGAATCCCTTCTCACTAAGAGAGTCCAAACCGTCATCTGTGAGGGTGCAACATCTCCCTCTTCCCCAGTGACCTCAGGTGTACCACAAGGGTCAGTACTAAGCCTGTTGTTGTTCCTAACATATATTAATGACCTGCCAAATGGTCTGACCTCTACTATCAAGCTGTTTGCCAATGACACTCTCTTGTACAGAGTGGTGGTTTAAGACCCAGATTGCGACAATCTCCAAGTCGACCTCAACAAACTAGAAATTTGGCAACACAAGTGGCAGATGCAATTAAATCCCTCAAAGTGCAACATCATCTGCATTTCAAATAAGCAAAGTCCTGCTCAACGGACATACTTTTTCTGTGGGTCCAACCTTGAACAAGTAAACTCTGCATCATACCTAGAGATTACTGTTAACAGTAAATTAAAGTGGTCCAAACACATTTCATCTATCTAAAGCAAGGCGAGTCGATCCTTGGGGTTGATCAAGACAAATCTCTGGAACTGCCCCAGGAAAGTACATGAAACAGCCTATACCAGCATCATCCGACCCAAACTGGAGTACGCAAGTGCCTCATGGGACCCACACTACAAAAAAGATATTTCAACCTGGAGAGGGTTCAAAGAAAAGCTGCTCATTTTTGTCTTTAAACCTTCAACAAAACAGCAAGTGTGACAGACATGTTATTCGATCTTAAATGGGACACATTAGAAACAAGAAGAAAGAAAAAGAGATTGACTCTATTGTACAAACTTAGTCATAACCTAGTAGACATTAACACAGAAGAACACTTAATACCAAAGAGAGAAAAAAGAACACGCAATAGCCATGGATTTAAGTATAGAATGCCAAAAGTATCTAAGGACGTCTTTAAGTTTTCTTTCTTCCCTAGATCAATAACAGAGTGGAACTCACTGGCCACTGACTAGGAAAGTATGTTATTTATCTTGTTATTTGGACATTTTTACTTTTATGTAATTTATGTATATGTACATATATATACATATATATCTATATTTTTTTATATATATCTTATTTCACCTTTTATTTATAGTTGATGTGATACCGAACAAGATTCTATCAACTCAATAAATATAGATGTAGATGTAGACAACATTAATTAAATCATTGTAAGAAAGACTGATAGCTCTCATACAAACTTCAGCCTTTGCATTGGCTTGATAATTTGGTCCTCTTGGAAGAATCTCTACAGTAAGAAAATAACTTCTCTAAAAATGTAATGAGGACCTCTAATTTGAACAAGTCACAAAATGAATTGTAATGACCACTTTAGCTGCTCAGGCTAAAGCTAAATGTTACTGCTTCCAAAAGAAGCTGTGAGTTATTTTCTGGTTAGATTGCATCATTAGCTCTTTTTAGATAGAAAATTATAGTAAGCATTTCAGTTCAGGATAAGACCCCATGTGATCATGATCATTTTTTGAATAGAAGACACATTAGACTATAAGCCTCAAGAAAGTAATCAAAACCCAAAAACATTGGTGAGCAAAAACTTGTTCAGTGATTATGTTACCTTTCCTATTACTTGGTATGTGTTTGTTTTCAAAATTGAGATTAATCTTAAGCTATGATCACACATGCTCAGGTAATTTCTTCACATACTGATTTCAGTTGACTGCTTTGATATAAAAACGTCTCAAGGAATAAAGAAAGAAAGGATCCTATGTTGATTCAGTGTTTATTGCATGCATGTATATTTACCCAGGAATCAGGTTTCAATTCTAGCTTGAAAGAAACATTTACAGTCAACAAAGAGGGTTTTAACAACTCGCAGAACTCAAATCTAAAAGAGATTTTGCACGACTTGAACAAACTGAATTTAAACTATGGACTTTGATAGAGCAATTATTTATGAAGTCAGTACATTCAACATTGCACACGCTGGCTATGAAACTCTTAACACAAACACCCACTGGGACACTGAAGAATGTGAAGAATGACTGGAAGGTTCCATCCAAAACCACTCCAAGAAGGGATTACAATTCCACCTAGAAGTTAGTAGAAAGAAAAAAAGAGCAATAAAAGATGTCTGATCTCACATTGATGAAATCTATGAATCTCTATGGGAGTCTGCAGATCTGGTGAAACCTAGTGCCTACTTGCAGGGACACTTTGGAAGATGAATTAAACAACTTGAAGGCTGCATGTGAAAATGTGACCAATCTACTGGTCAGATTAGAGTACAATGATTGAGAACAAAGGGAACAGGATAAAAATTCTGTGACTTGAATAAAGCCACACTAGAATGTTTAGCATACCTAAACATTCACATAAAAGACCAAGAAATAGAAAGAGTCAAACTTCTGTCATAAAGATCACTGCATTCTCTGTGATCTGTGTTGTCCAATCCCCTATCTGCAACCTCCTCGAAATGTGCAGCAATTGAAACTGTCAAGATTAAAGCAGATGAGATACTTTAAAAAGACATCAAGAGATCGACAGGCTGCGCAACAAATTAAAGCTCCAAGACAGGGAGTGCATAAATGAACAAGGGGAATTGCATGGAGAACTCTCCCCAGCCAAAGAAATTAAAAAATAAAAGTCAAAATTAAATAACACAGTCACCTTAAAACCAACAAAAAATACCATGGTCTCAACAGAAAAACAAGACCTGTCTAGAATTTCTGACCCAAACCTTCCTGCTCAACAACAGGTGGAAACAAATGTCCCACATAAATTAAGTGACAAAGCACTGCAGTTAATGGTTTTGTTGCTCAGCGAAGGATGCTCTTCACATTCCAGTGTAACTTCAGACAAGAACCTTTGACATTCTCCTGCGATATAGAGGGCATGTTCCACCAAGTCCACGTCAATGAGGAACAGTGCAACTTCCTCCATTTTCACTGGTGGGGCCACAGGATGATGACAGACTCAAGTCAACCCCCGCAGTGCAAGAAGCAATCAAGCTGTGCATGAGAAGTGGTTTCAGATTCCACAAGTTCATCTCCAACAGCAAAGAAGTTGTGGAGTTCATAGCCATAGCATCATGTGCAAAGGAAATTAAGGAACTTGACTTTAACCATGATCTACCAAATTGTTACATGTGGAGTACCACAGGGGTCACTGCTTGGCCCACTTCTTTTTCTTTTATACATAAATGATATGCCTAAAATGCTCCAATATCTTAGAATTTCACCTTTTTGCTGATGATACAAACCTATTTGTTAATAGTCCTAACATTCTAAATCTAGAAACCAACTTAAATTTAGAATTGGACAAGGTAAGCCAGTGGCTATATGCTAACAAATTATCTTTGAACATTGAAAAAACCAGCTTTGTGTTATCCCATTCTCCACAAAGAAGAATAGCTCATAAGTTGAATCTTTATTTTAGGACTCATTTTTGACTCCAATTTGAACTGGAAACCATACTTACACGAATTGAACAAGAGTGTTTCAAGAGGTATTGGAGTTCTATCTGAAGTTAGGTATCATGTAAACAGAAACATATAACATCAATTACATTATTCAAACATTTACCCCTTCCTCACCTATGGTTTATCAAGTTGGGGCAATACTTGTAGTTCTACTCTTAAACCTTTCATAATTCTTCAAAAGAGAGCTATACGTACCATAACTTTCTCAAAACCAGATGAACAATCTGAGCCTCTCTTTAAGGAATTAGAGATTCTTAAATTAACTGATCTTGTTATCCTTCACAATGCACTTTTTATGTATCACTATTACTATAATCTTCTTCCATCTTCCTTTGCACGTGTTTTTCAAACAGTAGCATCCGCGCACTCTTACCATAACAGGCTTGCTTCTAAATCAACCTATTACATTAATACCATAAAAAAAAACCATGGTAAATTCAACATTCACTTTGCAGCTGTAAAAGTTTGGAATCACCTTGACAAAAGCATTAAACATCTCCCCCTTAAAAAATTTAAAAACAAAGTCAAACTAAACATCTCACAGTCTTACTTTTCATGAGTTTTCAACTGGTCTCTTCTTCTTCTTTTTCTTTTTTCTTTATCTTATTTTTTTTTTTTTTTTTTTTTTTTTGTCCTCTTTTTTTTTTTTACTAATAACTTGCTTTGCTCAAGCTTTAGTGCCAACCTACGTCCTATATTTAAACATTATTTACTTTTATTCAGCTGGATTAGATTTTCAGTTATTCTGAGTAAATGTTACCTTTTTTGTATCCATATATTAAGTGTGTAAATTAAGTTTAACTTCTCATTTTGGTAATAAAGCTTCTTCTTGTTGTCGTTGAAAAAAAAATTTTAAAAAAAACCTATCATCATCTCCACTACAATCATCTCCTAAAACTTCATTGATACCTTTAGTGAATGTCAGATTTATGTGACTGGCCAAAGTCCTTTCCCGCATCAAACACAATGTTCCACATGCTCTCTTAAGAGCATATCAAATTCATAGCTTATACTATAATACATGGAAAACATTTCAGAGAAACAAAACAATCATTGGAACATCTCAACACTCTAGTTGTCTATCCTGTCTCCCTTCAGGCCCAATTTCTTTCTTAACTTCAAAGAAAAGTTTGACAGATACCAAATTAACCCACTCTTCTGTTCAACAATTTGCATGTACTACATTTCTTCTGGCGTTTTCATAATTTTTTTCCGAATATCATACTTGTGGACCAAAGCTTTTACATTAACATCTTTTTTTTTGTGGAACACAATGGCACACAAAGTAAAGGTATAACTATGAATAACAATGGCACATACATTTTTTCTAAACTAGTCTGTTAGTTGATACATAAACATTAGACCAGCAGACAGTACTTTATATGTGAGCTGCATGGTATCTTCTGGTTCATTTGCTGCAAACAAGCAACTTATGGATACCCCTTAACCTTGGCTTTAATGTCATCAAGGGTTTCTTGAAAGACTGATTAAAGTCTGGGAATGCTTGCCTCAAACAAAAATTTGTATCACAAACAGAGAAAGAGGAATAACAGAGATGGTATGATAAGGGTGGACCTGAAGAAGAGCAAGATCCTGGGTCAGTTACTGAATCAGACAACAAGCAGGAGCCTAGATCCTACACTGAATCAATCTCACCATATCATTGGGAATTAGACTTTTGCAGTGACCATCAAACAGGTAAGCCTCTGACATACTACACAACCAAACCTTCACCTGTTCTATGCAATTATGAAAAAGGATAGGCTATCTAAAATACTTCATTAAGTTGCAAGTAAATAGCCAAAAATGATAATTGTGATGTTATTTTTTCTGGATATAACATCAATAATCAGTATTATCAGGCCATATCCATAATTTAAAACCACAAATTTTCATGCTTTTAGACAGTATTCACTTATCATGTATCTAGCCTCTGAGGGAGCAAAAGAAAAGTGGAGGACATTTATGTAAAAATAATTTTTTAAAACTTGAGGGAGAGTCAGTTTATTTTCATGAAGAAATTCATATGTTTTCATTTAATTCTTTAGCTTCCTGAAAGCAAAACCCTTAACAAATTGGCATACACCAACAAACCTTTGGCAGATCAAGAGTGGCTGAAGAATGAAAAGGAAGTAAAAGAAGAAGAGCTTCAGAGAATGCTGGAAAGAAGATTGAATGGCACTAAAGTTGTGGATTCTTGGTAAGTTGCTGCTTATAATCTTGAACATTTCATTATTTAGCTGTTTGTTTACATTACCATTAGCAAATCTGAACTTAAAAGAAGAAAACATCCTCAACTCTTCTTTCTTGCAGGTGTTTGTGTGGTAACTGAAAATCCAAATTGCTTTAAAATATAAGTGAATGCCACTGCTGCAGCAAGCTAGAGGGATGCCAGAAGTCAATGTACAATGACATTGTGCCCTACAATATACCTGATGCTATTGGGCTCAAAGGTATCACTAATAATCCTGGTTTTAATCCAGTCTGTCTTTAGAAATGGAATTTAAGTTCAGCTAGCAACAAGTTCAGGACCAAAAAAAAAGATACAAAAAAAAACATCCTGCATTGGAGGAAAGTTGACCAAACTTCATTCCTATTTAAAATTAAATTGTTCACAGTGATCATAGTGATTAACGATAAATACATGTTAATGTGGCATCTTTGAGGGATAAATTTATTTTTCACGACTTACAATACTTACGCAGTAGTATTTGTAGTATTCATTGAACAAAATTCAGTTTACTTACAAGTGTTTTTGACATGTTTAGAAAATCACTATCATTTAAAATTTGTGACAATTGTGTAAACTGAAAGACAGCTACCAAACTGTCTTTGATTTCAAGTGTATCCCTACTTTCTTGATTTACCAAGACCTAAAAGTTGATATTCTAGGGAAAATTTGCAACGACAAATCAAGACATACCCAAGAAAAATTCATTGACTTGAGCCCAAATTTGAAAGTTGGCTAAGTCTCTCTAAGCACAAAACCAGGAGGTTGCCAGATACAATCAGCTGTTGACTCTTTCTTAGCCCCTGCTACAAACCCAAATCAATTGTGCAACCTTTTTGGCAAGATTATACAAGAGAAGAAAATGTTGGATGTCTTTGAATTTTCCCAAAACATTTCATTTTTCAACACAAGACATACCCCATTCTAATACATTGTTAAAGACTGGGAGAGGTTGGCTGAGAGAACCATAAAGTAAAAAAAAGTCAATGTTTTCTTCTAAACACCTCAGGCTAGCTTGCCTGACTTCAAGGCTCAAACAAACGTATTTTTGTCAGTATCCAAGGAATGCATGAGTATCTAAAAATAAGCATCCTGAATGCATTAAGGATAAATATTAAACAAGTGGCTATATAAGCTGTGCCTTTGAGGGCACATGACACAAAATGGACCACTCCTCAAAGATCACTGATGGTGTTAAACAGTTCTTCAGCTTTTACAAGGTATTTTCCATGATTTTAGTAACAGTAGCCACATGCAGTCTCAGACTGCCTATTTTTATCTATTCCAGTGCTTACAGAGACAGTATTATCAAAACAGGGTAAAATCAGAAAAGAAGCTGAAGTACTTCTCACTGAGAGTTAATGGAAGGGACTAAGAAAAGACAACCATTCCACATTTTACAAGTATCTCTGAGGAGACTTAGAGTATCTCATAAAGAAAATGCTTTAAACAGATCTACATTCCTTTCCTTATGGTTGGGCACAAAAAAGAGTTCTCAGCATAGTGTTGTGAATAGAGATATCTTTGTGTTTTGAATTAGATTTTATTTATATTTCAAATGGTGGATGATAAATGATTTGCCATTGACATTTATTCTATGTACTATTCTTAGTTATTTTATGGTGATATCTTGAGTTTGGAATTAATTTTTGCTTTCATTTTATACCGTCGATGAAAAATGTTTTGCAAGAGATATTCATAATTTGTACTATTCTTACTAATTTTATGACTTGCTAGATGTTTAATACAGAGGGCCACTAGTTTATCAGTCGTACTGTCATGTGTTACTCTCTCTAAATAAAGTTGCTACTTACTTATGCCTCAACACTTCCTGTGCTTTAAAATGTACTCAAAGATGCATACAACACCATGCCAGAGTGTCAACAACTCAAGGTGATATTTGACATCTCTGGATGTATTGGAGAACCTATCCTCCTCATGTCTACCTCCAGGAGAGCCACTTAGAATTTTGTAATCAATCTGCATGGGTATGCTGTCTCTGGTACGACCAATTCATGGACTCAAAGAGAGTTTATAACTTGCTGATCTTTGGGGGACGATCAAGGCAAGTTCTAATGTAGAAGTGACATTTAGCACCAGGGTTTTCAGCAGAAACCTTGAATGGCAAACCGGTGGAGGTCACGTGATCAAGCCCTGTACATACAAATCAGAGAGTTATGTAAACCAGTCTTTTTAGAACAAGTTTAGCTATATTTTTTAGCGAATAAGTGAAAATAGGACTTCTTGTTGTCATTTGAAAATCAAACACTGTCTGGACATTCAATATGGCAGCCTCTTTAATTTCATGTTTTTTTCGAAGTTTTTGGTCGCTAGTGGCCTTCTGTGAGCTCATAAATAAGGGTTTTCTCACATTTAAGGTTTATTATTCAAGCAGCAGTAGATGGCATCTGAGAAAGCTTAAAATTTTATAATTCCAGGGTATCATGGCTCCATTCCGGTGGCCAGAAATGAAGCACAAGCTAGCCCTAGCAAAGGAGGTGGCAAAGTAATTCCCTGAAAAGCCCCAAGAGTGGGACATGTTGCTGTGTGGGGTTATGCCTATCAGTTGTTAGTTAATCGTGACAAGACCAAGTTGATCCTGTTCAGAGTTCAACAAGTTCTGACTCAGCTACCAGAGGTTATGTTACCCTTTCTTGGTAGAGAACTGACCTCTGTACCACATGTAAAGAACTTAGGCATTATACTCTAGAGAGGTAATACACACAATTTTGAACTCATTCTTATTCAGCAAACTGTTTTACTGTTCCACTGTCTGGGTGGGAACATCAAAGATCAATCTTCACAAGCTGCAGTTAAAGCAAAACTCTGCAGAATGCATTTTGACAAACACTAGAAAGTTTGACCACATATTGCCAGTCCTTAAAGAACTTGGAAGGCTCACTGTTGAAAAATTGCTAAACCTACAGGATGTCACAGTGGTATATAAATGTTGTAATGGGCTAACCCCAACATATTTGAGCTCTAAGCTAGTAAAAAACTTGCACATTCATATGCACCAAACTAGGTGGAAAGACCACCTAGAGTGTTGAAGAGTAGGATAGCTACCACTTAGCACGCATTTTTTTAATAGCGCTATCAAGGCATGGAATACCCTAAAGATTGAAACAAGGAACTAAAAATCACTGGCACAATTTGAACAAAAGGCGAAATGTGAACTAAATGGAGCCAGCTAGACAATAAATTTTAACACCCTTGAACGCACGAAATTATAGATAATTTATATAAAAGTAGATTATTTAATAGTTTGACCTTTAAACTTCTGAACTAGATTTTTAAATAATATTTTTAAATTGTAAATATAGATCATACATTTTACCTTGTAAATTGATATTGAAAACCCCACTTGGGAAAATCAATAAAGTTACTGTATTGTATTATTGTATACCTTATATTAGAGAGACAGTTGTGGCCAACATTTTTATACTAATGAAGTAAATATATTATTTTCCACAAATTGCCCAGTTTTGGCTGACCTGTGCACTATGTAAACTATGTATGTTTAGCGTTTCAGTTACTGGTTATTCCATCATAATTTATCAGTATCTACAGCCTTTTGTAGCAGGAGACACTGGTAAGCTCTGACAAAACTTTCAGAGCAGATCCCATTGCTTCAACTCACTATTCTATCTCACTTAGTCTGTAGTCATGATTTCAGATACATTCACTTTTACAGCAGAACCTTGATTTAAGGAACCACTACAGAACAAAGTCTGCAGTACAACATACAATAAACTTCAGCATGGCCAAAGTTACCATTAAATGTATGGGACAAAACCTTGTTATAACTAACCTCCATACCTCATTAAAATGAACACAATCCAGAAGCCCAAACTCAATGACATTGCCAATTAGCATTTAGACAAGAATTGCCTCAACAATGCCAAATGGATCATCAGGCAATAGGGTTGTCTTCCCTTGAACAAGTTCAGATATTTTGGCTTTGCTCCATCCTTTTGCAGTGTGCCGCTATCCCACACTGCCTTTCAAGTGATTGTAAAGGCTCACCAGTCAGGGGCATGTAAGGGCTTTAGTGCAGAGAGTGTTAAATTGACCTCAATCTCAGTGCTGTTCCCTGATGCCATTTGTTTCTGAACTTCGGTCGAATACAAAGTTGTAAACATATCCTTCAAAAAATGCTTTGCCTCTCCATTCACAGTTAAATCCAGGGGCTGGAAAAAGTGTGTCATGTTGGCAAGTATTGACATAACCTCGATATTCAAGGCTCACATGTCCTTGACAATGTTGGGAATCATCTTGTCATTCCAACTCTTCTAGAGTTCGGTAGCATATGGATTCACCAGTTCCATCATAGCTACAAGGCAAAGCTGTTGTGGAAGGATCTGACTGGCAAAAGACCAACATCATACAGTGAGATGAGATGGTGGTCAAAGTGGGAAGTCTATCAACAAATATTAATGCAGTTTGCAGATATTGAGCGATTCTTGATAGAAGCAGAAGCCACTAATGTCGGTCCTCAGTTACTCCCTCAACTTCAAGCAATATTTTCTGCATCTGCAGAGAAGAAAGTACTGCTGGTACAGCCATCCTTGGCTGCAGCAGAAAGGGAATTCTCTATTCTCAATTCCTCATTCAACGATCAACAAGAGCACGCCTTAGTTGACTATCTGCAAGCAATTGTGATGACCCAATACAACAAGCAATGATTAACTTCTACTATGGGTAATGATGACCCAATAACAAGCGATGATTAACTTCTAGTATCAGAAAACCTCAAACGTTGTGTTGGACTAATGGAAAAAAAACATTGATCATGACATTTTGTTGTTGAAAAATGTAACTGAAAATCTGAAAAATGTAATATTCTATGTTTAAGAAAATCAGAAAAAAGTGAGCATTTTTATGTAAACCACGAGCACTTTTCAAAAAAACTAGCACTATTTTAGCACTTTTTTGGCAAATAAAGCACTGCTTTAAGCATTTAATGCTTTTTTCTACAAGCACTATCAGTAAGAGCCTACTATCAGGGAAAGCATTTGCTGCTCGTTCAAATAATGCTTTAGATTCTACAAAATTGCAAATGCATTTGGGAGTTTAAACCGCCCTGGCTGGCCGGCATCGGTTTTCCCCTGGTAAATGATCTGCATTGCCAAAAAAAGAGCCAGACAACAAAATAACAAAAGTTAAAGTAACATTTCTCTTGTCGGTTAGGCCTTTTATGGGCACTGCAGAAGAATTGCGCATAGCCATTGTCATTCTTCCAACTGAAACATAAGAGCAAGGGG